CATTTCACAGCAAAAATCAAACGCCATCAGATAAAGGTAATAACTGTCATCTTACTTATAAATTGCAGACAGATTGCTAACAGTACAGTATTCTGATGAATATAACCTTTCTTCTGAAATGTGGCAGAGTAACACAATTTCTCATTTTTGAGGCTTAGCGACTTTCTGTATAAGTTTAGGACAGGTTTTTGTATTGCCAGATTTCACTGTGGCTCCCATCATATCCACTGTTGCAACTAGTGATACGAAAACCTCTGCTACTTTGCAACTGCACTATCAGTTTTTTTAAAGATTTTTTTAAGATTCAGTTTCATGAAAGTGTGGTCTATTATTTTTTCAGTTTTATACATCTCTTTTATTAGTGTTATTATTTTATTTTAAACCTTGAATCCTAACTATTATATGTCTTGAAACCTAGTTATTAACTAAATAGTAACACGCATTTAGATACCTTAGTCAGGTATAACACTGTGTGGTTTGTATAGTTAAGAACAAGTTCAAACAAAGGCCAAATATCCCACAGAAGAGAAATAAACCCAATATGTTAGCGTTGAATATTAAACAAAAAGAGGTGAATGATCTTTTTCTTTGTCTTCTTGGGTCTTTTTGTGCAAAGAAATACTTTTTTGATGCAGTGTAATTTATAATACATGCTGTATGTAGTCAGTAACCCTTTTGTTCATACAGGGAGAATTCATCATATTAGTGGATGTGTTTAAGTTTCATAAACAGAACTTTGGCAAATATTCTTTTGCTGCCATTTAGAATATGCTCATGCTTTCTTCAGACACAATGTAATGATGTCATGTTTTTGTTTTTGTCAATGACAGGTTTTTGTCACAGTACGTGCCACTGTGGCTGCTATACTGCACTGTGATGAAGTCCTATACAAAAACTCCACCCTGCGAACTGTCTGTCTGTATATATACCTTTACTTGTTCAGTTCAACTTTGAAATATGATTAGGATACATCAAACTCAATAAAAAATATACCCCTGGTAGCGAAACAGTCACTGCAGTTGTAAACATCTAATATGCATTATTGTGGGAATAATAATTATCTTATTAGACTCTTGTTTTTTTCATTTGCATTTTATGTGAATTCTCATTTTTCAGTAGCAGGAATGATAATTTGGTTTTGATTTCACAATAATGATATTAACAAAATCTTCTTTAACAAAAAAATGTTGTTTTTTTTCTAAAAAAAACCCCTTTAATTTTAGGATATGCTAAAGAGCTGACTGCATATTGATGAAGGCTCTACTTACACGTCACACATTTATACCTTCTATTAATTAGGACTGAAAAAGGCAAAATTCAATTTAATGATCGTCATAAATGTTTTTTGTTTCCATTTAAAATATGCTCATGATTTCTACAGAAACAATGTTTTGATCCCCCCATGTTTCACAATGACAGGAGGTTTTTGTCACAGTCTGTCTCACTGTGGCCGTAATTTTGCACTGTAATACAACCCTTTACAAAAACTCCACCCTTCAAACTTGACATCATATCTGCACATATTCATTAATCATGAACTCCATGAAAGAATATGAAAATATAGTAAATGTTTTAAGTGGTACATTTTGTATGAATTCTACAAAAAATAACCTCAGTATTACAGAAGACAGAAGAGAGAAAAATGTGCTTCACAAACTGTTAGTCTGTATTTTAAATGCAGGAAAAAAACCTAACAAGTACAAAGACTGAGTACATACATGTTTTTAAGTCTATCATCCAAAGTCTTCAAGTTAACTCATTTTTAATATTTGTAACTGGTCTAATGAAAAGTGTTTCTTCAGAGGTTTTGTAGCTGTGGCCCTCTTTTAACATACAGTCTAACTGTCATACACATCTAATGAACACAATTAATTTTGGAACTAATAATTATTTCATTATTATATGTTTTTGTTTGCACAGCATGGATCAACAATCAAATCATTAAATCTTCCTTTTTGGTAATAAAAAGCTTATTTCCATCAGAATTTTAGGATATGCAAAAGAACTAACTATATTAATGAAGTTTGTGCTTACAGTATGCATCACACAGTCTAGTTGCAGCAGAAAGACATTGCCTTTCAAGGAGGTTTTTGTAACTGTGTGAATCAGTGTGGCCGCTCCACACTGTGACACATGTTTGTTCAAAAACCTCTGCCACCGTGTAGCTGTCACCCATTATGGAATATAAGCAATAAGACAAATATTCTGCCAAAATATTGTGGCCATTCTATATAAATATGGCCCCCTTTTCATGAATATAAATTAAAGATTTAATAATTTGAATAAAATCTTGCAATAGCTTTATTATAAGAGTTACTATTGATTAGTTATTACTATTGTGTGCTTCTTTGCAGTTATAGAAAACACATTTATTTATTTTTTTACGTAGTGTATTCTAATAATTAGTATGTTTTATTATTGCTGTACCTATTTCCCCATTTTAACTGTGTGTTACAAATGCCTAAATTAGTCATTAATGGATAATAATTAATGATGACTAAATATATTTATAAATAAAATATACCTTTTTCATTAGTTTTACCTGATCAGTACTGTGCTTCAAAATTTACAGGACAGAGGAAGAGGAGAGGGGTTTCACGACATAGTTTTTGTTATGGGGTATAACACTGTGTAGTAGCCCCCATAGTATCACAGTGACACAAGCTCTTACCAAAACCTTCCCACTCTTGCCAGAACTTAAGAGTTTTAGACTATGAAAACAACAGGATGTTCTAGTTAAGATGATCACAAAAACAGAGGCATATTTTAAAAAGGTTTAAGAGAATATTTCTGTTTTATCTGTATTATTATTTTATGAGAGTGGAAATACATTAATGTATTTTCCTTCTTTGTAGCTGTGAGTTCTTGTTGAATAATAGACTTAAATCTTTTGGAGTCACCTGGTGACTTTTAGGTCTTCAAAATACGTTAAACTTAAGCTTGCTTGACAGGAAATAATTGTTGGTTAAAACCTCACATTTTGTACACTTCTGTCCACTTTATGTTCATTCTTTCATTAATCAGGGACACACCGTTTCACACTATATGTTTTTGTCTGCATAAAGACCTGTAGGTGGCAGCAGAAGCAAGGGTTGAATTTGTACATGTCACCTCTCTGAATACACAAAGGAGGCAGCCAGAGATGGAGTTCCTTTTTTGCTGCTTCAGTTTCTCAGCCACACAGCAGCATTATCTGAATGCAAATACAGATAAAAATAATAATAATAATAAACACCTTTTAATGTTTGCATGAAGTAAGTGAATTCTTTGGTTTCCAAGCACTGCTTCTATTCAAAGCATCAACATCTTCCAACTGTTTTATTAACTGCAAAACAAGCTAACCCACTAGGTGGTGGTATTTCATCATGTTTCCCACTTCAGTTATTCACTGGGTACTGTGTAAAGCTGTACATATTTGGTGTATTTTGAGTTTTTATACAGGCACAGATGAAAATGTTTTAGATGAGGTTTCAAAACAATACAGTGGTTAAAACTGAATGGATTATGAAGGATAAAATGTTAATTGCAATAAAACGGAAACAGTGACTGTTCTTAACTTAGATGCATGAGTAACTGGACAATCTATGTGTTTATGCTACTTTTGTTATTTTAATTAAGAATATTGATTTGTATTACACTTGTACTATATTTTGTCCACACAAGAATGATTTAATGTTTGAAATATTTTGTATTATCCTGTTTTTAAAAACATTTTTAAAAGAAAAAAAATCCCCACACAAAATCAATAGATCAATGTCAACATCGATTTTCTGTGTGTGCATCTGTGCGTGAGAGAGTATATGCATATGTGTGTAACTGTACAGGCTTGATTGCTTTTGCTTCTTGCTTTGTCTCCTCACTATATGAAGTTGTGAACTACCTGTTTCTGGCTGAAATCCCTGTGCACACAGGTACCGACTGCTGACTTCATGATCTTCATTGAAATCTGGAATTTTGTTGTCTTTGGTTGGGCCTGTCTCCTTTATTCCTGTGGCTGAGTTGTGGCTTTTGTCACTCACACACCTTCACATTGCTTCAGTTGTTGCGGTTTGCAGTTGGGGGCAACCTTCCAATCGACTTTTGTCGATGGAAGACTTGTCATGCATTGATGATACATTCATGAATTCAGTGCTGATTGGGCTTTTTCCTATAGAATAAAATACTATAGGAAATTAACTCATTCACTGCCATTGACGTCTATAGACGTCAATTGAAAGCATACGTTGACTCATGGCTGGCAGTGAATGAGTTAATACAGGTCACTTATTCATCTAAGCTTAAAATTATATATATATGTGTGTATATATATATATATATATATATATATATATATATATATATACACATATATATAGTTTCTTGAATGCAGTTTGAGAGGGTGTGGTTACATTTTGAGCATATATTCTTTTGTCTGCAAACATTTATGCCTTCTGAAGGCATGTGTATCAATTTATAGCTGGATGCATTTGCAACCTAACAAGATATTTTTTGGGACTTGAAGAAATCCACTTATACAAATGTGGCCCCAAACGTGCAGAGAAGCAGCTCTCTAAAGATGGCACGTTTAGAAACTGAAAAACATCAGGCCTTAATTGACAACAGGAATTTGGAAATGTGACTCAAATGAACTATGGAGATGCAAATACAGTAAGCTGCCAGATGCCACAGTTGTAATGGTTGGTGCACAGTTTTAGTTGTGCAGGTGTGGTCCCAGGGGTGCACCAGGAAACTCAAAACCTCCAGGCTCTAACTGATAACAGAGGTTTACGGTACATTGACTTCAAATGCTGTTGTGTTATTCTTAGAAACCTTGAGAAATCATAGAGCGACATCAAAAATGATTTTGATGTTTATTACATGCTCACATTCATATTCTGTTTAATATTTAAAGTGCCAAATGTTATTTACTGAATCTTATTAACCTAACTTTAATTTAATGAAGCATTTACAGAAGTGAAATGACCATAAGATGCAGTATAATATGTAGTTTCATTTTATTTAATTATTTTTCACATTTTGCACATCTCCTAAGTGGGTATTTGTATATGACATCTATTTAATATAAAAAATGAATGATTATGTGCATAAATATAAAATGAAAAATCAATTTTAAAAGCAGATTAGAAATGAAGCGCACCCATTCCATCCCATTTGTTATCATCTCTTTATCTGCAAAAAAACAAACCCAAAACAAAAAATCATCAGAAGGTTAAAACAAATCTGTTAAGAACAGTCATTTAATTACTATTACTAGTAAACCCTAATGTACTCTAAGTTTACATCTTAATGTTACTAGGAGATAGTTTTGGATTAAATTAAAGCCTAAACATTTCTAAATTACACTCATTTTTTTTCCTCCTTTAAAAATCAAATGATATAATTTTCATGATAAAGGTGTGATTTTAAAAAGTGCAAACAGAACATTACAATTCCTTGTTCCTAATTTTTTTTAATTGATCTATGAGTGCTCTTTTGAGTGTACTGCATGTTCTTGTGATTGAGTTTATCCTACATTACAACTCACAGACTTCATTCTTCAATAAAACTGAAATGCAGAAAATATAAATTGCATGTTTACCTTAAGAAGACTGATGATTATGCTATAGAAGAGAGAGAATATGAAGAATATGAAGGAGGAAGCTGTGGACCAGAGGCTATTAAAATCCTCTTCAGCGGTGACATCGTCCCAACTCAGATCACAAAGGTATTCTAAAAAGTAGAAGGTACAGTACACTTGGTTAGAGGAGTGCTATGTGCATCTGTTTTCTATTTATTCATTGGGGTAATACAATTTTTCTCTTCTTTAATGGTGTTAATAGAAAAGTGAAAAATGGAAGAATTTTTCTTTTTTTTTGTGACACTTCAAGTTTTCCATCTACACATATACCAAAGAGTTTCCATGCAACGTTTACTTCAAACAGACAGCACATATATCGAGCAATTGGACACTGTGACTCACATAGGCTGAACAACAACATGATGAAAACAAAACAAACATTTTGTCTCACAGTGACTGACATCTCAAGTGCACAGGTTTTCATATAGAAAACTCTCACAGACAAAGAATGACACAAGCACAAAATATCACATTTAAATCTTAGTAGTTACAGTCACATTCTATGGAATTACCATGGGCACTGGACACTGTTTTTAAAATATGTTTAGGTCCGACTCCGACACAGCAGGTGAACTCTTTGGTTGGATCTTTTTTGACCCAGTTTGCCTTACTGGTGGTGTAAAGACTCATACTTCGCCATTTCTGGTCATTTTTGCTCTGCTGTGCAGGGTCGTCGGTGGCTGTAGCATAAGGTCTAGAATTTCGTTCATAACTTTCTGACCATTCGATTTTATACATCTTATTCACAGTACTGGTGAACAGACACACCAGAGTGATTTTATCTTCAGACTGAAACTGGTCAGTGTGCAGCTGTGGGAGCATGTGGACTGTCACTGTTGGCTCTGTCCCATCAGAATGAGATACTCAGTTAAACAGAGAGATTTATGTACAAGTTTAAAAAGAAGACATTAAGTTATGTATATATGTGGATGAATAGATTGGTGTGTGTGTGTGTGTGTGTGTGTGTGTGTGTGTGTGTGTGCGTGTGTGTAATTGTAACATACTGTTTTTTGGATCGGCAGTTGTGGAAAAATCAGTTACCTAGTGTGTAGTCTCTGTCAGTTTTATTCAAAGATCCACTTTGGCCTCCTGCAAAATTACACATAAATACAGTATCTTCATGCAAGTCATTGGAATTTACTGTGAGAAAACCTGCTGCGTTCTACACTTTCTTTCCATCTGCCTGTCTTGTTTCAGAAACTGTAGTGATCGGATCTTTTTTTGCTGGTGACGTCAGCTCCAATTTTCAGCCATTTGATGTCATGTTTCTTTGGTGCAAACTCTTTGGTAAAGCAGGAGGCAGTATAGGTACCATCCTCATCAGGAGAGGAAATCACTTTAAGAGTTGGATTCTGCTCAAATACCACTGAAAAGTAAAGATATACACAAATGTATGTATTCAAGAAGGAATTAAATGTGCTTTTATTCAAGTAGAAACACTTATTCCTTGGTATTTTTAGGCTATTTTTTTAACATATAAATGCAAGGTGTACTTTCAGTGAAGTCAGCTTCTACCTTCCAAAAGCAACAACAACCAAAAATAGAGAACTATCAAGAACTAACTCTTATCCTTCTCAGAAGTAACAATCATAAGTTTTAGTGCAGTAATACTTTACTAGTAATTGTTACTGTCGCACAAAATCCAACATTTACTGAATAAAGCTGCTGTCTTTGCGAATGTGTCTGCTTAAAAGCCACTGAAACACAAAGATGTACACAAATGTATGTATGCAAGAGCATGGTTTTTGTTTTTCAATTTACAAACTATTCATAAATGTAGAAATCCATCCATTCATTATCTTCCATGGAAGAACCAGGAGCCGATCCTAACTGCCTTAGGGTGAGAGTGAGGGTACACCCTGGATAGGTAATTCGTTTTTCGCATGGCTAACACATAGAGAAAGACCGCCATTTGCAGTCACATTCACACCTTTGGGCAATTTAGAATCACAAATTAAGCTAACCGCAGAAATGAGAAATATTTAAGAACATGTCATGCTATTTAATAAGGAGAAATATTTGCTTTTATGTCATTTATTTGACATAAGCAGCATATCTGAATATGGTTTGGGGTTTTAAAGTTGAAACATTTTTTCCTTGGTATGCTCAGATTCTTTGTCAATATAAGCAGCTTGGGGTGAACTTACAATAAGTTTGCTTCCAGTACAAATCTTCCAAAAACATCAAAACCGTGAACCAAATAAATAGAGAACTAAAGAGAACTAACTTGTATTCTTATCAGAGGTAGCAATCACTAGGTGTAGCTCAGTAATAATTTAAGAGTAACTGTAATTACTGTTCATAAACAACAACAACAAAAAGAACTTTTATTGAAGAAAGCTATTGCATTTGATAATGCATTACGCATCAGACCTTTGGAATATATATATTTTTTCATGTAAACTTGTTGTAAGTCAAACAGAATAAGATAAATTGATTAAATGTGACTAAGCATGAGGCTTACGTGGTTTTGTGATATTAGCCTGTCCATTTCCAACAGTGTGATTGACACCACATTGAAAATTCTGTTGTGTATCCCAGTCCTGTCTCCTCACTCGGATTTGACTGACTCCAGTATAAACATTGCCATTTTGAACTGCAGGGTACTGGATGAAGTCTTTCAAGGCAGTGCTGCCTTTGTTCCATGAGAAAGGAGGGTTAAAGCCAGTGGCAAGGCAGCCAAAGAGTGACAACATCTCCACTTTCAGAACCACATGGTATCAGAGGAAACACAGTGGGTGGACTTGAAGTGGCTAAGAAAGGGGAGACAACAGTAATTAAGACACCAGAATAGAAATACAATAACATACCAGACATTTCCCCTTGAAAATGCTTAAAGAGAAAACACTTGAGCGGATCATTTTGTTTAATAAAGGCCAGCGTGAAGACAATTACCTTCTCTAAATGTTCAATAGAAAAACATTTCAAGTGCCCGAGTCCTTCCCTGCAACATTGCTTTGGAGGCAGTTGGTTCATCAGGATCCCCCGATAGAATTATACGTTTACTTTTCTGTTATTCAACACATAAATTAGAACATTATTTTAAATGTAGAATATGAGAAGAACTTATTTGTAAAGCATTGCGTAAAGTTGTTAAATGTCCTTTCACAGTGTTGATGGCAAATTCTTACAAACCACAATAAATTTGATCCAACTTCAGCAGTGATCTCTGAAATGAGATGGTATTCTTACCTGATGAAACAGTGACTGTTGTCCCCTTTCCCCAATAGTCAAAAACACCGTAGCACAGTATAGAATCTAGTTCTTTCATGATATCAAAAGGCTAATCTATTCATGATATGGAGAAAGTCTAAATAGAACCTTTTCTTAATCCCACTAGATTAAAATCCTATTAAATCACCCAATTATACCCATTTTGACATTATCACGTTTGAGAATATTTTTACAATAAATGTACTTTAACACAATAACTGTATTTTGAAGTAAACCTTCACTGAATGGGAAGTTATATTATATCTTGTAAAATGAATTTCTCTATCCGAAACATATCCTATGCAGATTTTAGATAGGACAGGTCTTACCTGATGACATTTTTATCTTGATGCCATTTTCTTAGTAGCCTAAACCTCCCCATACGGAAAAGAAATAGTAAAAACTTATATGTGATTACTCATGAAAGTGGCCACTTTCATGAGTAAATCATATAAGGCTTACATGATTTACTCATGAAAGTGGCCACTTTTGCATTACTTTCATACATTGTTTTAGTAAGTATCCAAAACATACAAGTTTCATTATATAATTTTTCAAGGGATCTTATATCTGTTTTCACTCTTATATGCTTTTCATACAAGTTTCACACAAGAGAGATACAAACTTTATAAGATTTATATATATCTTTTCCATATGGGTCATTTGTGACAGTTAACCGAGTCTTGTCTTATTTCTTACAAAAATTAATCACTATGACATTCTGATTTCGGTCTCAGAGAAAATTAAAATAAGTTTAAAACACTTACTTCTTGATATAGCTATAACTAACATCAATAAATTAAGTCCAGTTTTTTACAAGTTCTTTGCTCTTTTGGCTACAAAGTGTTCCAATGACTTGCTTTGCTGAGTTTATCCCAATAGATGAATCAACATTGTACTAGTCTTGGATAAAAATAAAAAATTCTGTCTTTAGTGAAAAATACATCAATTCATTCCTGACATGACGGTGACCATTGTGCCCTTTCCCCCAGTAGTCAAAAGCGTAGTCACAGTCTAACAAGTTATTCACCACTTCATATAAAAACAGACTTTGCATCTTGGCATACTTGGTTTTCTTCATGTTGTTTGTGCAAATTGAGATTCAAAAGACTGAATTAAACCTGTTTTTCACCACCAAGTGTTTAAACTGAGTCTTCAAATGACCTCACACTCGACTTGCAGTATTTTACAAATACAGTGGGAATACACTGTACACTAACACACTGTTTCTTCGGAAAATATCAAAGTTTTTAACTCAAAATCTTAAGATTAAGGACATATTTCAACTGCCTTACCTGTTGTGACTGTAACCATTGTACCTTTCCCCCAGTAGTTGAAAGCCCAGTTATCACAGTTGAGTCTTTTGCACCTCTCACAAAAACTAACTTCTCGGATATCCTGTTAATTTGTAAAGTTTTTCTGACTTCGGAAATAATTAGAACCACTCTAAACTTAATAATTGTGTACATAGTTATGTTTCAATTAAATTAAAGGTCACAAAGTTTTTAATCACCAGAGTTAAAATTATGACTACAGATTGTAGACTTGTGATACGCTAGAAATTAAAGCACTGCATGGTTTTCACAGTGTTTTTGAACTTAAATGTCAACATTAAAGAAAAAGAAATCAGATCCCTTTACCTGGTTGTGGCTTATCCCCAGTAGTCCAAAACAGTGTCTAGTATAAAATCTCAAAAATATGCAACATACAAAAAACAACCACGCTGAAGTTCTAAATGTGTCAAATTAAACTGTGAAAGTCAAACATTTTTTAATATGAACAATACAGAAAGCTTGTCTTACCTGTTGTGACGGTGACCATTGTTCCTTTTCCCCAGTAATGAAAAGCAGAATTACAGTGTAATATCTCGATAAATCCAACAAAATCTTTCATAGAAAGAAAAAAAAATGTGTGCAAAAATCTTTTGTCACCTTATATATGATTACACTAAACTGATAAATAATAAATAAACCGGTCATTTACACAGACGTTTTATTTTTCCTTGCATGTCAAATTAAGCATAAAGTATAACAAAGATTTAATTTCATATCAACCTGTCAAATGTAGACTTGTTCTCACTCAAAATAGATCGGATTGTTATTTACCAAAGGTTATTCTGACTTGTGTTCCTTTCCCCCTGTAGTCAAAGTAGCTAGCATAGCCATAGCTGTCACAGTGATCTGTTACAATCTGCTCTAATATAAACGCTTATTAACTTAAATAAAGGAAGTGTACATGTTTCTCTGAAAAAGCAGTTCCCTCTGTGCCATTTATTAGCAGTTTCCTTTGGGAGATCAGTTTCCTCTGGTTTGGCTTTTGTAAAATTATGCTTCTTGCCAGCGTCCTCTTTTTTAGAGCCTCCTGTTAATCCCAACTTTTATAGAAAATAACCAGCAGAAGTTATATAGTGCTTTTTCAAATTAAAAAAATTACAAATTCTTCCTACTCATGGTGAAATTACATTTTATTACTGGAGTATCTATTATCAACACTAATGACATCTTTTTGCCTTTGCCTTGGTATCTTAAAAAGGGTTAGGGTTACAGTTACTTAAACACCCTCTAGACCATAGGTGTCAAACTCTGGCCCGCGGGCCAAGTTTGGCCCGCAGCCTAATTAATTACATTTGGCCCGCGAAGCCATACCAAATTACTATCAGAGCTGGCCTACTGGTATTATACAGCTAATATATATATTGTTTAGTATTAAGCTTTTCTTGTTCCAAATTCATTTTTTTAGCAAAATGTGTTTGAGTCCATAAGAAAAGATTCATTCTTATATCTGGAGGAATAAATATATTTCAATAAATATTAACGTTAGCCCGCAACTTTGTTCCAGTTTTGAATTTTGGCCCACTGTGTATTTGAGTTTGACACCCCAGCTCTAGACTATATGACCAAGAAATTTAGGTTGAAATTATTTTTAGTAACACATGTAAATACATGCTTCTTTCACCTTATGGTTCTCAGCTCTTACTCCGTGACTCCATTCACTTGGGTCCATTTGTGTTTGAGTGGCATAAATATGTCATTAGAAATTGAATACGAGTTGTCCCTTGAGTAGACCTTATGTGAAAAGTTTATTAGAAACAACTACTTTGTCTTCACTTGGTGTCTAAGGTGTCTACAGCTTTCTGATTATTCATCAATAATTACGTTTCTCGGCCTTCATCCCACGATGCAGATGTCACCCTAAGAAGCAGAGAAGCAACTCTATAAAGACTGTTTTTAGAAACTGAAAACTATCATGCCTTAACTGATAACCGAAATTTCTAAGTGTGAATCAAATATGCTATGGATATGTAAATATACAGTAAGCTGCCAGATGAGTATGTTGTTTTTCAGGGAAATTCATTCACGGTTGTAATGGTTGGTGCACAGTTGTAATTGTGCAGGTTTGGCCCCAGGGGTGCACCAGGAAACTCAAAACCTCAAAGCTCTAACTGATAACAGAGGTTTACGGTACATTGACTTCAGATGTTGTTGTGCTATTCTTAGAAACTTTGAGAAATAATAGAGCAACATCAAAAATGCTTTCGATATTTATTACATCCTCACATTCATATTCTGTTTAATATTTCAGGTGCCAAATATTTCTTACTGAATCTTATTAATGTAACTGTAATGTAATGAAGTATTTACAGAAGTGAAATGACCATTGTAGTGTTTCTTCTTTTCGTTGTTTTTTTTTTTTTTAATTTCCTTGAGCACTTCATTTGGTTGTTTACTGAGAATTAATGTAACAACAGAATCCATAGCAGAAAAATAGTAATATCAATATCAGAATGCAGTATAATATGCAGTTTCATTTTATTGATCTATTTTACACATTTTACAGATGTGTTAATTGACTATTTATATATGACAGGCATTTAATATAACAAATAAATGATTATGTGCATAAAAGAAAATGAAAAACATTTTAAAAATAGCGTAGAAATGAAGCGCACCCATTCCATCCCATTCGTTATGATCTCTTTATCTGCAAAAAGAAAACATCAGAAAGTTTAAAAAAGTCTCTTAATAAGAGCAATTTCAATTTTTATTTTACCCATTTACACAATTTAAATTTACATCCTAATGTTATTTATTCCAGGAGATAGTTCTGGAAGATTATATTATGGAAATTAAAGGCTATAATTTCTCAAATAAACTAATGTCTTTTTTTTTTATTCTTTAAGAAGCTAAATAATTGTATAATTTACATTATAAAAGGTGTACTTTTCAAGTGCAAACAGAACATTAAAATTCCTGATTAAAAAAAAAAAGATATTTAAGTGCTCTTTAGAGTTCCCATTTACTGCATTTTCTTGTGACTGGGTTTATCCTACATTACAACTCACAGACTTCAATAAAACTGAAATGCAGAAAATGTAAATTGCATGTTTACCTTAAGAAGGCTGATAATAATGCTATAGAAGAGAGAGAATATGAAAAGGAATATGAAGGAGGAAGCTGTGGACCACAGGCTGCCAAAATCGTCTTCAGCGGTGATATCATCCCAACTCAGATCACAAAAATCATCTAAGAAGTGGAAGATACATTACACTTGGTTAGAGGAGATCTATGTGCATCTGTTTTCATTTGTTTTTTTAGGGTAATGTGATTTTCCTCTTTGTTACTAGTGTTAATGGAAAAGTGAAAAAAGGAACAGTTTATGTGTATGTCTGCTTTTTGATGTTGTTTCAAGCTATTCATGTACACATATACCAAAGAGTTTCCATGCAACATTTATTTCAAACAGACAGCACACATAAAAGCAACTGGACACTGTGACTCACATAGGCTGAACAACAACATGATGAAAACAAAACAAACATTTTGTCTCACAGTGACTGACATCACAAGTGCACAGGTTTTCATATAGAAAACTCTCACAGACAAAGAATGACACAAGCACAAAATATCATATTTAAACCTTAGTAGTTACAGTCACATTCTATGGAATTACCATGGGCACTGGACACTGTTTTAAAAATAGGTTTAGGTCTGACTCCGACACGGCAGGTGAACTCTTTGGTTGGATTTTTTTTGTCCCAGTTTGCCTTACTGGTGGTGTAAAGACTCATACTTCGCCATTTCTGGTCATTTTTGCTCTGCAGTGGAGGGACGTCGGTGGCTGTAACATAAGGTCCTTGTGTCTGTTCAGACATTTCTGACCATTCGATTTTATACGTCTCATCCACAGTACTGGTGACCAGACACACCAGAGTGATTTTATCTTCAGACTGAAACTGGTCAGTGTGCAGCTGTGGGGGGATGTAGACTGCTACTGTTGGCTCTGTCCCATCAGAAAGAGATAGTCAGTTAAACAGAGATTTATGTTCAAGTTTAAAGTGAAGACACTGAGTTCAAATGTATATATGTAGACAGACAGAAAGGTGTGTGTGTGTATGTGTGTGAATTTAACATACTGTTTGTCAGATCTGTAGTTGGTGAAACATCAAAATTATTTAAATGAAACTACTACTTTCATAATATGTTATACCACTAACACTTTAATGTCAATACAAGAAAACTAAAATAAACTAATAAAATCAATCATATATGCATATATATGCATAAGGCTCACCTGCTTTTATGGGTTTACCTTGTTTTATTACAGAATTAAAGTGTTTTGTTTTTTTCAAAAACAACAACAACAGCTATGAGTTACTCACCTCCTTTGTTGTTTTGGTTAGTATTGTTCACCGGCTCAGACGCCTCTGCAATACAAAGACATGCACACATGTATGTATGCAAAAGCAGTATACAGAAGTATACAGAAGTTGAGGGAAACTGTGATACTGTGTTCCTACTGTATCGATTTAGTTAGATTAAAGTAGTAACAAAATAAAATGACTGAGCATTCTATTTATAAATTTAGAAAAATGTAAGAATAAGTCGTGCTATTTAATAATCAGAATCAGAATCAGAATCAGAATACTTTATTGATCCCTGGGGGAAATTATTTTTTGTTACAGTGCTCCATTTTAAACCAACATTAAGACAAGACAGACAATACGCTAACTAAGAATAAGGCAAAATATTTGCTTTTATGTTGGTTATTTGGCACAAACAGCATATTTATATATAGTATTTTTTTAAAGGTTGAAACAATAATTCCTCGGTATGTTATTTTGTCAATGTTAGCAGTTCAAAATGGCCTTATTACTGCTTCCACTACAAAAACATCAAAACCAATAAAATAGAGAACTAAAGAGAGCTAACTTGTGTTCTTATCAGAGGTAGCAATCACTAGGTGTAGCTCAGTAATAATTTAAGAGTAATTGTAATTACTGATCTGAAAAGAACTAACAAAAAAAGAACAACTTGAAAAAGGTTACTGAATTTGATAATGCATTACACATCAGTTCAATTCTAATTTTTGTAAAAGTTTAAATTCATTCAAATTGTTTAACTTTGGAATATATTATCAATGCTGTCATGTGGTAATTGTAAATAATGCTCAGAAAATAACTAACACAAATGTGACTTACCATCAGGCTTACGTGGTTTTGTGATAGGAGTCTGTGCAATTCCAGCAGTGTGGTTTACAGCACATTGAAAATTCTGTCGTCCATCCCAGTCCTGTCTCCTCACTCGGATTTGACTGACTCCAGTATAAACATTGCCTTTTTGTACTGCAGGGTACTGGATGAAGTCTGTCAAGGGATTGTTGTCGTTGCTCCATGAGAAAGTCACTGCAGGAGGGTTAAAGCCAGTGGCAAGGCAGCCAAGAGTGACCATATCTCCACTTTCAGAACCACATGGTACCAGAGGAAACACAGTGGGTGCAGTTGAAGTGTCTAAGAAAGGGGAGACAACACTAATTAAGATACCGGAATAGAAATACAATAATATACCACACATTTTCTCTTAGAAATGATTAAAGAGAAAACACATGAGAGGACCATTTTGTTTAATAAAGGCCAGCGTGAAGACATTGCCTTTTCTAAATGTTCAATACAAAAACATTTCAAGTGCCTGAATCCTTCCGTGCAACATTTTTTTAGAGGCAGTTTGTTCATCATCATCATCTGTTATTCAACACATAAATTAGAACATTATTTTAAATGTAGAACATGAACAGAAATCATTAGAAAAGCATAGTGTAAAGTTGTTAAATGTCCTTTCACAGTGTTGATGGCAAATTCTTACAAAAACACAAAAAATTTGATCCAACTTAAGCAGTGATCTCTGAAATGAGATGGTAATCTTACCTGATGAAACAGTGACTGTTGTCCCCTTTCCCCAATAGTCAAAAACACCGTAGCACAGTATAGAATCTAGTTCTTTCATGATATCAAAAGGCTAATCTATTCACGATATGGAAAAAGTCTAATTCAACATTAATTTTATTCCCACTAGATTGAAATCTTATTAAATCACCAAATTATACCCATTTTGACATTATCACGTTTAAGAATATTTCTCACATAATGTGAAGTTATATTATAACTTGTAAAATGAATTTCTCTATCCGAAACATATCCTATGCAGATTTTAAATAGGACAAGTCTTACCTAATGACATTTTTATCTTGATGCCATTTTCTTATGAGTCAAAAGCTCATTTGTGACAGTTACTTCTTACACAAATTAATTACTATGACATTCCAATTTTGTCTCAGAGAAAAATAAAATAAGTTTAAAACACTTACTTCTTGATATAGTTATAACTAATATAAATAAATTATGTTGTTGTTGTTTTTTTTTTTACAAATTCTTTGCTCTTTTGGCTACAAAGTGTTCCAATAATGACTTGCTTTGCTGAATTTATCCCAATTGATGTATTGTCGTAGTTGATAAAAAAAATTCTGTCTTTAGTGAAAACTACATCAATTCATACCTGACGTGACGGTGACCTTTGTGCCCTTTCCCCAGTAGTCAAAAGCGTAGTCACAGTCTAACAAGTTATTCACCACTTCATACAAAAACAGACTTTCCATCTTGGCATACTTGGTTTTCTTCATGTTGTTTGTGCAAATTAAGATTCAAAAGACTGAATTAAACCTGTTTTTCACCACCAAGTCTTCAAATGACCTCACATTCGACTTGCAGTATTTTACAAATACAGTGAGAATACACTGTACACTAACACACTGTTTCTTTGGAAAATATCAAAGTTTTTAACTCAAAATCTTAAGATTAAGGACATATTCCAAGTGCCTTACCTGTTGTGACTGTAACCATTGTACCTTTCCCCCAGTAGTCGAAAGCCCAGTTATCGTTTGCACCTCTCACAAAAACTAACTTCTCAGATATCCTGTTAATTTGTAACATTTTTCTGACATTTGAAATAACTAGAACCACTCTAAACTCAATAATTTTTTACATAGTTATGTTCCAATTAAATTAAAGGTCACAAAGTTTTTAATCACCAGAGTTAAAATCATGGCTACAGACTATAGCCTTGCAATAAACCAGAAATTAAAGCACTGCATGGTTTTCACAGTGTTTTTGAACTTAAATGTCAACATTAAAGAAAAAGAAATCAGATCCCTTTACCTGGTTGTGGCTTATCCCCAGTAGTCCAAAACAGTGTCTAGTATAAAATCTCAAAAATATGCAACATACAAAAACAACCACACTGAACTTTTAAATATGTCAAATTAAACTGTGAAAGTTTAACCTTTTTAATAAGGAGAATATGAAGCGTGTCTTACTTGTTGTGACAGTGACCATTGTTCCTTTTCCCCAGTAATCAAAAGCACCATCACAGTGTAATATCTCAATATATCCAACACACAAAAACAAGTTCCTTTAAAGCTCTGTTAGTGCCACCGAAGTCTAAATTTAATGAATTAAAAAGTATTTTAAAAAAATTTGTAGAAAAAAAGATACAGATATTTTTTACCTGTTGTGACAGTCACAGTGGTTCCTTTTCCCCAGTAGTCAAAGTAGTCACAGTGACAGATTTCAATTGTACTTCAGTGCAAAAATATTTTTTCACGTGATTACACTAACCTAATAAACTGGATAAATCTGTTATTTACACAGATGTTTTACTTTACCGCCAATGTCAATTAAGCACACAGTGTAACCAATTTTTCATTAACTGACAAATACAGAATTGTGCTCACTCAAAACAGATTAGATTGTTACTTACCAGAAGTTACTGTGACTTGTGTTCCTTTCCCCCAGTAGTCAAAGTAGCCATAGCTGTCACAGTGATCTGTTACAGTCTGCTTGTAATACAAATACTTTTTTAATTTAAACCAAGGAAGTATGAAAAAGCGTCTCCCTCTGTGCCTTTTATAAGCAATTTCCTTTGAGACATCTATTTCCTGTGGTTTGGCTTCTATAAAATTAGGCATATGCCAACTTCCTCTTGTTAACTGCAGTATGTATAGCAAACCACTAGCAGAAGTTAATTATTCATTTTCAAATAGATCTAATCTAATATCTAATCTATTTAATGTATTAATGTCCTAAAAATAGGTAAACACCCTTTGGACTATGGAACCAATAATTTTAAAGGCTGAAATTACTTATGGTACCAAACATTCTTAGTACTTTATAGATATATCACACAGTCACAATGTTTAGTGCATAGTTGTGAATATTCAGTCAGCTTGCTTACATTTGAAAGTGATTTCCTCTCCCGCTTCGACCGCCGTGACTATCAGGAAAAAAAATCTCCTGTATGGCCTGCAATGAATCCTATGGTGGGACATGAAGGATACACTGGACCCATCCTTCAAATTCATGGAAAACAAGGACTTATTTGTCACCACATTTGGAGGACTCTTCGAATTTGGACAGCCTTTGTCGCGTTGCTCTGACGTCATTACCTCCAAATATGGCATTTGAAGCATCCTTCCCTTGAATTTGGACACAGCCTTTGTCTGTGTGTTGTTTTTCATTCGGTATCAGGTCATCTGTTGTTTTTACCATGTTTCCAAGTTTCATGTCCAGGGCCCTATTTCAGGAAGCCGGTTTAGAAAACTCAGAGTGAAAAACGATACTCAGGGTTGAGTAACCCCGAACTGTCCAACTCGGAATATTCGGTTTCAGAAAGGCTGATAACAATTAGTTCAATCAACGCGGAGTTGCGTCAACCCCAAGTTAAGCGCGCGCACGAGGATACATAAAGCCCTGATTAGTGGAGCACAGATTAAGCGAGTCACCATGGAGACGGAGGGAAAGAAGGCGCGGTCAATGTATTTTACAGCGCTTGACGCCGAAATTCTGATGGCAGCATATGCCGATAACATGCAAATTATGCGGGAAAAAAAGTAACACAGCCACAGCTGCAAAAGAAAGGGAGCATGCATGGCAAAACATAGCCGACAGAGTCAATGCGTGAGTGTTAATTTAAACATTGATCTAGGGATTTCCACCCATTTAACACGTTATTTTATTTGTTATCTTACACATTTTATTTTGTGATGTGAGCGCAGGTGCAACCCAACAGGCCCCAAACGTTCCTGGCAGCAAGTAAAAATGAAATATAAAAATATAGTCCAAACAGGTCAGGTGTAATTGTATTATGAGCCATAGTGCTTGGTCTGTTTGTCCAATGTAAATCAATTGCAGTTAGAGGCTACATTAATTTTCTTTCTGTAAGCACTTATTGAAATTATCTGAGCACATTACAAGTACATATTTGCTTACTCTGTATGCTCAAATGTGACCCGTTATAGCCAACAGAAAAAAAGCGGAGGGCCGAAAAACAGGTGGGGGTCCTCCACCACCACCACTCACAGAGGCTGAGCAGTTGGCCCTCAGCCAAAACAGTGGGCGCCCTGTGGCCGAAGGCATCTCTGCGGGGACATCCTCTGAGGCAATAACCCCGCAAGACACAAGTGCCTACATAAGAGGTAAATTCAAAATAATACATGATGTGCATACATCCTTTCTTCACAGTCACCTTTGCAGTGCTACTCATTCATTTGATAAACTCTTTACCATAATGGATTATTTTGTAGTGAAGTTATTTTCCGACTGATTTTGCCTTCCCTCAGTCTTGGTTGTCTTTGAGAGCATAATGACAATGAAGTGTAAGGTGATTGGTATGTTTGTTAATTGCCATTTGGTCCCTTGTAAGTTATAAGTGACCTGTATAAACCTCATATTCTATCAGTTGATGGTGGTGGTGTACTGCAGCTGGTGCAGCCTCCTGTTGAGCCAGACCAACATGCAGCTGTGAGTAATACTCCACAGATTATATGAGTTTACAGTAGAACAGCAATGTTGTTTATTTCTTTACTACAGGAAAATAATGAAGAAACATTGACAGCTGTTACAGAGGAGGAAGCAACAGAGACACTTTATGAGGTGTACATCTTTTAATACTTTGTGTACAGGAAATACAGGCGACCAATAAAGCCAGTTGAACAAAAAATCTGTTTATTCGTCTTTCAACATGTTGAGGTGATGGGTCAAAAGAAATGATTGTGACATATGGTGTCTCTGACTGCGCTTCCATCTTGTATGTCCGTGGGAGGGTCAGGATGTTCATGGTTTGGATCACTGCTGATGTTTGGTTCAGAAGGACAGTGTTCTCCTCTAATTGTGGCAATGTTGTGAAGAATCACACATGCCACAATAATGTCACATGCCCTTTCTGGGGTGACCCAGAGTCTTTGCAGGCACTGGAACCGGGCCTTAAGCATTCCGATAGTCATTTCAACTCTGGCTCTTGTCCTGCAATTAGCCAGATTATATTGCTGCTGTGGGCCCGGTTCAGGGTCAGGGTAAGGGGTAAGCAAATAGGGTAAACATGGATACCCCCTATCACCAAGCAAGTAGCCAGTGAACTCTCCTAAGACAGAAGGATACACTTCAGTTCAAATGTCCCTGAAGCAATTGGTCTTTATATATTTTAAAGTATTCTCAACTCACCATGTCCAAATTTTGTGCTCAGTGTACATTCATGGAATATTTGTGAGTCATGAACAGAGCCTGGCCACTTGGCTTCCACATTTGTGATAATGTTGGCAGCATCACATATGATCTTCACAGTGCAGAGAACACAAATTAGCATCCATTACTATAATGAAATAATTTGTTAGTTTGAAATGCTACAGGGAACTATGTACCTGTACATTGATGCTGTGGAAAGACTTCCTATTCACATAGTCTCCTTCATTTACTGAAGGAGCAATGATTGGAATGTGAGTGCCATCTGTACAGCCAATCACACCTGGGAACCCTGAAAATAAATGTAAAATTTAAGTAGTAGTTCAAGTATCACCACATCATATATTAAGTTTTGTTCATCCTGATACCTGCAATTTTGTGGGATCCCTCTTTGATAAATCTTGTGGGTCTATGACCGGGGAACACCACAAACCAGTACAGGAGACGTTTCAGTGCAACTGTAACATTCCTGACTGCCCGACAGACGGTAGCCTTGGAAACGTGCTCAGCGTCACCAATATTATACAGAAAGCTCCCGTTTGCAAAAAACCGAAGTGCAATACAAATAATATGTAATGAACTGAGATCATGTCCGCGATGTGTCACATGCGTAATATATGGCCTGAGGATGTTATTCAAATAACTTATAGATTGTGCTGAGAAACGGTAACGTTCGCACAGAAAATCATCAGGAAATGATAAAATGTCCAAACGCGCTCTGATCACTCTCTCCCGGCGGTGAGCTCTGCGGAGAATTTGGGCTTCACGATCTACTGGCTCTTCAAGGAAGTGGCACGCCATGTCCGACACTTCCTACTGTCAGGTTTCCGACAAAGGGGCGGAGACAGTCAGGGTTAGTTGTAGTAAACCTGCTAGGGGGCAGGTTAGCTTCACGGAGTGTGTCATCATAGTGACTCACTGAGGCTTCATCTGAACTCGCTTTGTGAAACCGAAAACCCAGAGTTTTCGTTCACTCACGGTATACTTACTCAGTTTTTCCACTAAACCGGCTTCCTGAAATAGGGCCCAGGGCCCTATTTCAGTTTCACAAAGCGAGTTTAGATTCATCCTGAGTGAGTCACTATGACAACACACTCCGTGAAGCTAACCTGCCCCCTAGCAGGTTTACTTCAACTAACCCTGACTTTCTCCGCCTCTGTGTCGGAAACCTGACTGTAGACACATGCGTGCCCCTTCCTTGAAGAGCCAGTAGATGTTGAAGCCCAAATTCTCCGCAGAGCTCTCCGCCGGGAGAGAGTGATTAGAGCGCGTTTGGACATTTTATCATTTCCTGATGATTTTGTGTGTGAACGTTACCGTTTTTCAGCACAATCTATAATTTATTTGAATAACATCCTCAGGCCTAATATTGCTCATGTGACACATCGCGGACATCCTCTCAGTTCTGTACATATTATTTGTATTGCACTTCGTATTTTTGCAAACGGGAGCTTTCTTTATAATCAGAATCAGAAAGGGGTTTATTGCCAAATGTTGAGCAGGTTTACAACATCAGGAAATTGCTGCGGTGCTTCAGTGCAAACATAGTGTCATAAGTTGCGCTTAAATAGACATGAAAAAATAAAAGTAAGAATAAGAATTAAAAGTGCTACGTAGAAAGATATATGCATGAGATATACATGAGATATATACATGAGAATAAGAATTAAGAGTGCTACGTAGAAAGATATATACATGAGTGCAGGTGGTGATCAGTGCCAAACATGGAATGATGCAGTGACACAGCGTAGGGTCATGTGTTAGTGGCGGGAACAGTCATATGGTTATTGTTCATGTGTCCAACAGCAGAGGGGAAGAAACTGTTCTTATGGCGAGAGGTTCTGGTGCGAATGGACCGGAGCCTCCTGCCTGAGGGGAGCAGGTCAAACAGACTGTGTCCAGGGTGAGAAGGGTCAGCTGAGATCCGAGCTGCACGCCGCAATGTCCTGGAGGTGTACAGGTCCTGCAGAGATGGGAGTCTGCAGCCAATCATAATCATAATATTGGTGATGCTGAGCGCGTTTCCAAGGCTACCGTCTGTCGGGCAGTCAGGAATGTTACAGTTGCACTGAAACGTCTCCTGTACTCGTCTGTGGTGTTCCCCGGTCATAGACCCACAAGATTCATCAAAGAGGGATTCCACAAAATTGCAGGTAGCAGGATGAACAAAACTTAATATATGATGTGGTGATACTTGAACTACTACTTAAATTTTACATTTATTTTCACGGTTCCCAGGCGTGATTGGCTGTATAGATGGCACTCACATTCCAATCATTGCTCCTTCAGTAAA